TATCATACCAGCAAGTAGTGACAGAATCATCTAATGAAACACCACACCAGAAACCATTAGAATATTTCACACGATCAAAGCGAAAACCTTTACCTCTAGACTGTAATATTGAAAATACTTTCCTACTTTTTCCTACCCCTGCTTTACCAAAAATATAATAAACAATTAGATCTTGCTTATAACAATTTTCTATAGTAAAGCTTTGATTAAACAATTTAACTTCTCTCATGGTCTTGTACTTAGAAGCAGATAGTTCACTAGGACTTTTCACATTATAGTTTTTTTCAACAGCAAGATGGGGTTTTCCAACATCAATGGGAGGCACACCCAACTCATCCATAATATCACCTAGTTTCTTTAAACAAGCAATACTTTGCTGATGTGAACTTTTACAAATATCTATATGAACACCATGAAGTAAATTAGAGAATAGAATAACAGGGGCTGAGTAACAGACATAAATGTGAACACAGTGAGTGACTATACTAGGACCTTCTTCATAACAACTTAGTAAATAATGGAAATGAGATCTAGTAGTTAAATATTTTTTAATTTTATCATAGTGTTCAATTTGGTTTAACTTTATCAAATATCTTCTAGCAAGTTTAGTGGGAACTGTCATTTACAAATTAATTATGGATTTCTTAGTTAATACTTAATTGTGAAATTCTTAAATTATCTATAGAAGCTTCGAGAATGCCGATTTTGTAATTATTATCCCGTTTGTTTACTCTCTTGGCACCCAATTATTTACTTATATTTTTACTAGGGGGCTTTGATAGTATATTTTATTATTTTTTATTATTTTTTGAACAGGACATTATTAAAATCGTTGACTTTTGACAGGACTTAATTTTTTTAAAACTAATTCTTTCATCCTATTTGGGAACTAATACTTTTAACGGTACAAACATATGTAGAATAATGTTATTTATAACAAAAATTAAATTAAACTTTTTTATTTATCTAAATGCAGAAGAGAATATAACTTCAAACTTTCCCATTCCAGAAATAACCAGAGGACTGTACAAAGAGAAACCAAATTATAAAGTACTTCCTGTGCTTGGTTGACTAACTTGAGTAATTATAAGTGCCTCTCCTATTCCAACACTATTAGCTGTAAAGAATAACCAAATAGTATTGGGACTAGATAGTTCTCGTCTTGAATGGCATTTCCGTATTTAGCTAAATTTGAAACTCCAACACCATTTAAATCAAACTTTGTTCCATTATATTTAATATAAGTCTTTTTTAGTTTTTTTTTAAAGTTTCTGTTTATTCAAATAACCACTTAGAGGAGTAGTAAACCAGTTTAAGGAGATGGAAGATCACTAATAATCCCTTTAATAGTCTGCTAGAAGTAAGGTCTAACATGGAACTTAAACGGCTTAGTCATATCATATATTTTGTAAGTCATCTGCTTATTTTTCCTTTTATAAAGTTTTAGTTAAGGTTAAAGTGAATTATGTACGGTCCACTCATTTGTAATAACATACTGTTGTAAGAGAATTAATAAATACCTTATTTTTTGAATGATTCATAACAAAACTGAAATTATTCTAACAAAAAAAACTCTGTTCGTGTATATAATTTTTAACATTTCTTTTCTTTAATTACTATCAAAAATGATTTTTGTTCTAAAGTTAATTCTTTTGTTAATTTTTAAAAAAAAATTTTTAGAAAAAATACAAGAAATATGAAAAAGTCATAAAAAATAACCCCTTCTTTTAAAATAGAATAAAAAAGTTAGATTTATGAATATTTCAATGTTTAACTAGAAATTATATAGAAGTAAGAGTTGTTAGTTATAAATCTATGATTCTATTTTTGGTTATTAAAAAGAAGAAAATCAAATGTCTCTTTGATAGAGACAATTTAGAGAAATAATTATTTTTCCTTATATTTTTATTATTCAACCAAATTCTTCTTTCAAAGAGGGATTTTCTTGAAAGAGTAATTTAGGCAAAATAAGCATATTTAAGTTCTTTTATCAAACTTATTTTAATCACTCTCTCAACACATTATGGATTATCAACAACAATCTACTTATAACCCTCCAATGATCCCTGACAGTCAAATGTATCCTCCTCCCCAACAACAAGGAATGTATCCACCTCCTCAACAACAAGGAATGTACCCTCCTCCTCAACAACAAGGAATGTACCCTCCTCCTCAACAACAAGGAATGTACCCTCCTCCTCAACAACAAGGAATGTACCCTCCTCCTCAACAAGGGATGTACCCTCCCCCTGCTCAACCAGTGTACCAAGCCTCTCCAGAAGAAAAGAAAAAGAAGAAATCATCGTCATCATCTTCTTCAAATGATGATAAAGAAAGGCATCAATTTGAGAAAGCAAATATATTATTTATCTTAGGTATATTTATTCCATTGTTACAATGTATGAATTGGATGTGTATCTTTAGAAAGCCAAGAAGTGAAAGAATCAGAATGAAACGAACTGTTATGATTATTTTTTCTATTATTGAGACTATTATGTGTACAATGCCAGTAATTTTTATTATTTTTACAGTAGTGATGGTAACGTCAGTAGGTGGATCAGACTTTTAATACATTGTCAATTTACAAAATAAGTAAATACTTTTCTTCCTTTTTAAGAAAATCTTATTTTTTGATTAATTATTCTTAAATGTCAACTTAATTATAAAATGTTTGATACATAAACAATTCATTTGTAATTTGTTTTATTTTGAAATACCTTATAAAGTATGTCCCTTCAATCACTAATTAGCAAATTTTTAATTCATGAAAGAGAAAAGGTATTGTTTGATTTAAATTGGTAAAAAAAGATATGAGAAGTCTTATTTCTAAATACTTTGTGGGCTGTAATTCTTAATCAATTTTTTAATTCTTATTTCCATTTTCCTTACTTTTATTAATTTAAAAGAAATATCAAATTAAAGTTGTTAATAATTATGTCAAATTTAATTAATTATTATTCCTTTTATCAGTTAAACAAATATCTAAGTAATTTTATAAATTATTTAAAGTATAGAATAATTAAATTTTTTTCGTTACTTCATCCTTTTAATATTTATAAAGAGAGTTATTTTATTGAAATAATAAGAAATTAAGTAAATAGTTTTTTATTATAAATTTATAGTTTATGTTATTAAAAGAATACTGAACTAACTTTATCATTATTTCTTCTAACAAATGAGACCTATTTTAATTCTTTTTCTTTGTCTTATTCCATGTTATTTAACTCATGAGTGCATTGTTAAATCACCATTACAAGACATTGACTTAAGTAATCCTAATGTATATATACAAAGTGAAGATTTTACTTGTCCACAACCATTAGTTAATTATACTATTACATTGCAATCACCCTCACTTGTTACTTTACACCACCCACCATCAATTGCATTTTTAGTTATTAGTTCTGAAGTTCCAGTAACGATTGTTGATTCATTTAGTGCATTTGAATTTCATTTTAATTCAAACCAACATTTAACTATTGAATCATTTATTGGACATGTCAGGTGTCAACAGTGTTCACTAGATATAATTACTGCAATTCTTATTTCCCCAATTTTTGGTGAAATAAAAATTAGTGGGTATGCCACTATCTTATCCCCCGATAAAATTCATTTTACTCATATTATTAATAGTGGAACATTATCAATTATCTCACCATATCCTCCTCAAATTGACTCTTATAAAGGATATGATTATACTACCTTCTTAACACCGTCAAGTATTTACAACCCTTCTTCTGGTGTTGTTCCTTCAAGAAGTATTGTTTCAATATTACATCCATATCAAAATGTGATAATTTCAGAAGTAATTAATAATGTATTTATATCTTCTTCTAGAGCAACAATTAATAATCCACTATCATTTCATAGCATCTTTCTTTTGAATGGTGAACTAAAAATAACTGAACCAATTGTTATTACTATGTTATCGGCAAGTCATTCAAAAATTATATTAGATGGTGGAATGGTTAAATCATTTATGATGACATTAAACCATACTACTATTGAAGTTAATCATCCAGTAGAAACATTCTTTATTACTCATTCAACAATAGTTGATAGTTTAAACGTTAAGACTTATTATAGAAGCACAGCTAATTCATTCAAAGTTATTGAATCAAACACAGAAATTAAATTAATAAACTCTTCTTCACTTCAACTTATTGCAAACAATAAAGTTGTTGTGAAAATAGATGGAATTCCAATAATTACTGGATTCAAACAATGTCATATAATTTCAAATGGACAAAAAGAATTATTCATTGGTAGTACAAAAGTTAAGTATAGAGAAGAGTATTGTCCTTGTAATGATTGTGAATTGATTGTTGAAGAGTCTCAACCTGTTATTCTTTATTTTGATGATGCTATGGTTGGTGGTATAAATTGTATAACAGAATGTATTATTAAATCAAAAAAAAGCATGACATTTAATAGTTTTAAAGGTAAAAAAATTACAGTTACATCAAATATAATTATTAATATGCTTATTCCAGTAGATGGAGGAGAAATTATTTTTGAAAAAAACGTTATTTTATTAAACTCATTAAATAATAGAGAAACAACATCAATTATCGGAAATGATAATTTTTACTTCAAAGGAACTACACTTGTTGGAATAAAAATAAAAATAAATCGTTTAATCTTCTTTTCTAATAGTAGTGGTGTTATAATAGAAAAAGGTAGTAATATTGATTTGGGTTATAACGCTTATATAGTTACTTCAACAACTACTACACTACTCGGTAGTATTCAATGTAGAGCAGGGACTATTGCCTGTATAAGAATAGGACCTGAAGGGAGTTTTGTTTTTGAGCCAGAAAGTAAACTGGGTTTGGTAGTAAACGTTTCTGAATGGAAAGGAGATCCTCAATATCTTTTGTTTAGTCCTAAAAAATTATTTAATCAAGAAACAAAATTACCTCAACTTTATCTCATAGACAATACAACAAATCAAATTAAAAAAACTGGTAGATTGTATGTTGAATGTTTTGGTAAATGGATTATGTACAAATGTTTGTTTTTTATAACTTTCATTTTTTTTTCATTCCTTTTATAATATCAATACATTTTATCAATATTAGTATCAAGTGATTCTTATATAAATTGTAATCCTTTTATTCAAGGACATGTTGAACTACCATCATCATCACCATTTATTTTAAAGTTTTTATTCTTTATTATCTTTGCTGTAGTTATTGGAGGAGTTATTTTCTTCATCTTTGGAAAGAAAAAGAACAAATTTAGAAATGATAGAATTGAGCTTGATTCTAATAATTCTCCACCCTTAATTATTGTTGAAAGTGATGAATAACAAAATATTATTTATAATTTTGTGTTATTTATATTAATTTTTTTTTTGATAAGAAATAAAGAAAATTCAGAAGAAATAGATTTTTCGAAAACTTATTCATTCTTTGAATTTTTTATAATTAAAAATAAAAAAAATGAATTAATGAACTTTCTTCAAATGAAAGAAAAAAATAGTAAAAAAATAATAATAAAAACAAAAGATTAATAAAGAAGATTATATTTTCTTGTAAATGAAAGAATAAAAATAGGAAGTTGATAATCCAAATGATAAAAAAACTATAATGAAAAGAAAGAGCTCAATCGAGGGTAAAGTGACAAATACTTAAAGTTCAATCTAAGAAAGAAAAGATTATTTAAATATTCATGTCTTTTCCTAATACTGTTCCTTATCATTATGAAATCAATAAAGAATCACCTTATTATAGAGAACTTATTCCAAGACCAATGTTTGAAGGTATTTATGCTAAAGTTAAACAAATGGCAATTGGATTTTTATGTCAACAAGACCCTTCTCATGCTGAATTATATAAAACAAAGTTTATGTTAATTAATGATTGTCTTGAAGCACCATTCTTTAAAGAATCATTATATGAAATGTTTGCTGGATGTACTGATACAGAATCAGAATCATTTAAAGTTATGATGAGAAGTTCTGTTGCTAAAACTGCTTGTTATGGAAGATTTTGTTTAGAACGATACCTTGAAGGAGAAGAATTAAAGAAAGTTGAAATAAAGAAACCAATTTATATTGTTGCACTTCCAAGAAGTGGATCAACATTTACACATACTATGCTTGGGTGTGATCCACATTCAAAGAAAGTACTTTTTTATCAACATTTATGTCCAGGAAGTCATACAATGAGTAAACAAGCTCGTTTAAATATTGCTGAAATGATTATTGGACAAATTACTAATGACGGTAAAGATATGAATAAATGCCATAATATGGATAATATGTTAGTTCCAGAAGAAGAATTATTCTTTATGGAAATTCTTGCATGTACTTATATTTTCGGTACTTCTATGCCAAGATGGGAACAGTATAGAAAATCATGTTTTGAAAGAGACTTTTCTCTTGTATACCAAGGTATCTTAGATGAAATGAAAATGTCTGCTATTGAAGAACCATTAAAAGAAGACCAATACTTCTTAATGAAATGTGTTTCTCATTTTATGACTCCAATTCCATTTTTCAATATAATGTGTAGTGATGAAATTGAACCAAGAATTGTTTGGATTCATAGAGAACCAGTTGACGAATTTAAATCAGCATTTTATTTGTTACTAAATGC